TCCCCCAGGGAGGAGGTCACACACAGTTCCATGTAATCCAGTAACTCTTTACAAGAGTAGAAAACCTCATCCTTCTCCCATGGAACTGCTGGTAGTTTCAAACTGCGGACCTTGGGGTTTGCAGCCAAAAGTTTAACCACTGTGGTGCCACAACTCTAGGGTTGCTGTATGAGAGAATCAGCTAAATGGCATACACCATCTACAACAATAATGAATAAAAATGCAAGCTTAATTTTATTAGTATTTGAAATAAATTCATTCTTGGCTTACACGTTATTTGAATTGCTAATGAAACCGCCATCAGAACCTACTATGTCTTAAGTTTTCTGATTGACTATGAAGTTGGAAATACAGTTTTTCTCCTAAATTTTTTAGAATTTTATTTTCACAAAATCTTAGTGTATCTTGAAATATTTGGTATAAAGAAATATGTTATTAGAGATATAAAATAAGAATAAGTACCAATATAAGTCCCTACAATATCTTCAGTAAAAAGAAAAATGTAATTAGTCTAAGTACACATTGTAAATTTCTTGTTGATGGGGACCTCCAACACGTATTCTTTCATAGTACATATTACTAGGTATTTTGAATGCAATGTACTTGGCACCATTCTAAGCACTCGGAACTAGTTTAATTTTCACAGCACTTCTCATTCTAGAGGGGATGAAACTGAGGCAAAACATTAAGAATGCTAGTTCATGTGTCTAAATAGGTGTTTAAATTGAGATTTTAAATAGGGAAGGAAAGTGTGTTAGGGTTGACTAGAGAAACAAATCCAGGGGCACACTCATGCGGATAAGAAAGAACTTTATATAAAGAGTAAATTGTATATTGATTAACATCCCAGTGAAGTCCATAAGTCCCATATTAGTCCATATGTCCAATACTAGGCTATAAATTCCTCTTTAGACTCATGCAAGCATGCTGTAATGTCGAATGCAAGAACACAGGCCACTGAGTGGAAAGTCTTGTAGATCCAGTGGCAGTGGAAGGATGTCTGCATTGGTGTGAGTCTCCACGTGGCTCCTCCAGGCCAGAGCTATGGCTCCATCAGTGTAGCTCCATGTGTCTTGTCAACAGGAATGTCTCCTAAGGAGTGAGCATGTATCTAGCCTCCAGTGAGCTTTATATCTCCATTTGCGCCTCCCAATGAGGTCATCAAGCTGCCCATCTGATTTATAGGCTAGACTTCACCCCTTCACAAGTTGACAGGACATTATGTAACTGCCACATAAGGCTTTATTCAAAGTCTGTTCTTGCTGATTATCTAATGAGAATTTAGTAGGAACAATACTTTTTTTTAAAGATAAGTATTTGATGACTGTGTGAAGTGAAATTTTTTACTGAACCTATGTCTCTATAACCTCCACCCAAATGATTGTGTGAGACTATACAACTAGGCATGTGAAATACTCATAGAGGGGATTGGCCAGTTGAGTTGACAATCCCCCAAGCTATAGGAGAGCTATTTCTCAAGTTGGAACAGAAGGAATTCTTGGAACCATTAAGAAAGAAGAGTATTCAGCAGAGCATGTTTGTGAAATCCTTCCACCAGTGTCAAAATAGGTTAAGGAAAACGGGCAACATGACTGACCTCTGCCTCATGGCAACAGGCCTTGGGTTAGTGAGAGTTGGAGTCTCCTCCTTGGATAGCCAAAGGAGGTCAGATGTGTCCCCCATGCCATTTTTCATGCTGTGATACCAAATAAGTATGGATGCTTTTATTGGATTAGTAATATTGGGAATTAAAGTGAAATATGACTCTTGTATTAACAGCGATTACAGGTTGGACTTTTTACATGGGGACATTTGGGGGAAGTCAAGTGAGCCATTAGGTCTTCATCTCACTACATGAGAGCCTTTGGATTGTTCTTTGGAGCTTCATTTCACAATTCAGAAAGGTTACGGCACCTCCTGTAGGTTTACTCATTTCCTTCTCTTTTTTTACTGGAATCTTGTTGATTCACTTGAATTTTCAGAAAAATTTCTCTGCCTGCATTAATGATTCACAATCATACTATTAGAAACTATATTAGTCATAATTTCTTATACTTACTGGTCTGTACACAATCTTAAAATATCTGTAGCGTTTCTGATACTATAAAATATATTGTGCTCAGAAAATAGTTTTT